GAGGTCTTACTTCTTGGTGCCCCCTCGTTGACGGGGGGTGCTGGTGCTGGCACGGCACAGCTGCACTGCATAAAACAGAGAGACAGGCCTAGGCTGCGAGATCCTTCTTTCCTCAAAGAAGGTTCTCCGGATCGGCAATCACCTCCCAGGAGTCTTGCTCGAGCTGATTCTCGGGCTGCTCCGGGATCGGTGGAAGGGGCCACCATTGCGACTGACTCATGGCAGGCTCTGAGGGCGTTGTCGCCGGCGTCGTGTCCTGGCCCCCGCTGCTCACGTCGGAGAGCTCGATCTCGGAGTCTCCGTTGGCGAGAGGCGGCGTCGTAGTAGACAGCGGTGGTCCACCTCCCTGGAGGCTCTGGTGAGGTGCCCCGGGCCCTCCAGAGCCTGGTGATCCGCCGCTGCCGCTGGCTCCGGTGGGACCAGCCTGACCGCCCACCCAGGGGTCTTCCTGGACCGCGCCACCAGGCGTCGACAGGAGGCCGTGTTGCTGAAGTAGAGCTGCGACGCCCTGGCCGATCTGCTGAAGCATGAATCCGAGTTGTCCGATGCCCTGCTCGGCGTTGAGGATGCGGTCCTCGATCGTGTCGAGCTTCTCGCCGAAGTCCTCGAAACTCGAGAGCGTCCTCGCGATGGAGACCAGCAGCTGATGGATCTGCTGAAGGCCCTCCTGCGTCTGGGTGGGCGCGCTCCGCGCATTGTTGACCGTCTCGATCATCTGGTCCAGCACGGCCTGGACCCGCCCGAACGCTCGGACCCCGTCCGGAATCTCGTGAAGCTGCCAGTGGAGATTCTGCAGTAAGGCGCCCATGCTGTTGATCGTCGACAGCGCTGCTCCACCCTCGCGGAACCCTGGGTCGTTCTGGAGCATCTCGACCGCACGACGAGCTGACGCCGCCGCCGAGCGGGCCGCCTCTGCGGCGGACTGCGGAGGCTCTGACCCGCCCTGGCCAGCTTGTCCGCGAGGAATCCAGACCAAGCGAGTGTTGCATAGGGAGCACTTGGATCCAGAACCGTGCTGGTTCCCATCGTATCTGATGGCGGACTCCGGGTGGTCGCAATCGATCCCTGCCACAGCCGGTGGAGGCTTCACTGGAGGGGGCGGCTTCGGCGGAGGCTTGACTGCGGCCGGTCCGGACAGTGTCCCCGGACGACCAAACCCGAACACCTCTTGCGAATGCGCGAAGGTCTGACCTGATGGATCGGGCGGTCCGCCCACGGCCCCGGGCGTTCCGGCCGGAGCGGCCGTGGTGCCCATCATCCTGGGAGGCGGCTTCACTGGCGGCTGCCTTGGCTGAGGCGCCGCGGGAGTGCCGCCTGTCGCCTGGTGACCCGCTGAGCGCCCGCCGTCCACCTGCATGAGATCGGGCGGCGGCCCGCGAGGAAGCGGAGGCCGCGCACTCCCGCTCGATGAAGACGCCGCACCTGCTGATGGGGCCGGCTGCGCTTGTTGGTCGGCAGCGGCCTCTGCAACTGCTTGAGCTGCTGCCTCCTCCAGCTGCGCCTGTGCTGCAGCCACCGACGGGTCGGCTGGGTCGTCCCAAATGCACCGTCTGAGTCCGGCTCTCCTGGAGCCCTCTCGCCTCTGATGCGCGCCTGACGAGCCCTCAGGAAGGCCTGCGTCGCATCTGCCGCCCTCGGGGGATTGCCCTTCGAGCTCTTGCCGCCGAGAGCCGCAAGCACCAGCGTCGCCGCCAGGGTCCCCTGGAGCAGCCGCATCGTTCGGACCGGAACTGATTCCGAGAAACAGACGTGAAAGCCAAGCTGAAAGGCTAGCTAAGCTTGAGCCGAGGTGGTTTACGCGGACGATAACGTCGATGCCGATGGTGACTCCGACCTGAGGCCCTCGGCCCCCCGAAACTCTCGTGCTCGAAGTACCCTTGACCTTAGCTTGACTACCGGATCTGAGGCCCTGGGATCTCCTAAGTGAGGCTGACTGAGCTCGTGGCTCGCAGATGTCCTCCCGCTCCTCAGAGGTCTCCTGGCCTAAGACGACCTGGCTCCTGATCTTCGGCTCCCTGGTGCTCTGAGTCCCCGGACTTGTGCTCTGGATCCTGGTCCTGGTTCTGGAGCCTCTTGAGCCCCTTGGTCCCCTGGTCGTTCGCATAAACAACCGTAGGATGATGAGGAAGAGGATGATGTAGACAGAGACCGTTCCCGTGTCGGACATCTGCTGCGGCGGTCCGGCCGCCCGCTGAAACGAGTCGGGCCGAAGAAAAGGATATTTGTCCAAGGCTGCTCGAGGGACCTCGGGCTCCGTCAGCTGGCAAACTATCTCGACCAGCCGATGTCCTGACCCGAGACGCGTGAGCGGAACACTCCGGCCCAGGCGCTCTAGCTGCAGGGCGTTGCGAGGCAGGTAGATAACTGACCCGAGGTACTCTAGAAGATTGACGCTCAAAATGTGCGGAACATTGTCCGCCAGAACCGTAGTCTCGATGATGCCCAGGACCTGGCCCAGGCAGAGAGGAAAGAGCACCACGTTGATGACGCGAGCGGCTCCCCCCACGCCGTGAGCAGCCTTCGACGGTCGCATGCTCTCGGGGATCTCGACATACTGGAGGCCCACCTCAGCGAGCGCCTGAGATTCACGATTGAGGGCCGCGACACCAACCAGGTCGCTTCCGGCCCCCGGATCCACCAGCGCCTGGGTGGGCGTCGTGGCGAGCAGGACCATGGACTGGTCGGCCTCCGGCTCACTCTTCTCCAGCAGAGCGCAGGGGGCCACGAACTCGCTGCCGCTGCCGCCGCCCACGACCCCGTCGAACAGGTAGGCAGCGACGCGTCGATCACCTCCTCGCTGTCCCTGACCCTGAGCACGCTTATCCTTGGGACCGCCACGCTCAGGGCACTCGCGGTGCCAGTGCCCCTTCTCCTTGCAGATGCTGCAGCGCGTGACTTTGATCAGCTGGTCGCGGGACAGTCTCTGCCGGCCAGCACCACGACCGTCTCGGCCTGCCCCGCGGCCGCCTCCGCGACCACCTCGAGCGGAACGTCCCGCTGGGTGGGCACGAGGAGGAGGACGGGTCCCCTGAGCTCCAGGGCGAAAGTACTCGCGGTCCTGCTTCACCGCTCGCTTGAGGTCCTTATTTTGCTTCCATGTACGTGTGTTCTTAGCCTCGAGAGTGGCTAGGACCTCATCCACTTGATCCTCGGAAATGTCGAGGTCCTCGATCTCGGCGAGCAGTGCCTCGATATCCTCCTCGTCGTCTTCCTCCGGCTCCTGGTCCTCCTCATCGTAGAAGGTGTCGTCATCCTCGGCACCCTGGTTCTCGACACCACCGTCACCCGACCAGGGAGGAGGAGAGGAAGAGGAGGGCTGAAAAGCACCTGCCGCACTGCTGGCCCCTACACCCTCACTGGCCATCATGGCTCCTGCACCTGGTCGTCCGGGCAGAAGCCTCTCTGACCCGCCGGCATCCATCTGCTTCAGAGCCCAGGCCACGTTCTCGTAGTCTAGCCTGCCGAGCGTGAGGGTCCTGAGATTCTGGAGGCCCTGCGAGGTGAGGCCTGCGCCCTCCTCCAGCAGCAGGCCCTTGAGCTTTGGAGACATCCAGAGGTCATGGTCTTCGGCCTCCAGGAGCTGCGCCTCACGCCTGGTGACGAACTGCACCAGAGATTCTCGCTGTTCACGACTGGCCTCGAAGAAGGCCTTGCGACCAGCTCTGCGCAGGTCGTCTCCTTCTCTTTCCCCGGCCATGGTGTCCATGCGCCCGAGCACCAGGTCGATCCAGCCGTCCTCGGCCATCTTGTACTCGGGCACGTCGTCGAACTTCATCTGGAACGCCCAATCGAAGAGCTTGAGAAATTTCTCAGCACGCCGCCACACGGGAACATCTGTGTTGGCGTTCCAGCGTCGCAATGCCTTTTTCCAAGGCCTGTAGTGGGTCCACCCCGGCCATGCCGGGGGATCGCTGTAGTCTCCCTTGGGCCAGCCGCTGCTTCCCCAGCCGCTGGACCAGGACTCAGCATTCCGGCTGTCACGACTACGGCCCCACTGGTCTGACTCCTGCGGTCGGTCGGCCTCAGCCTTCCAATCCCGCCAGCTGCCGGACTTGCTAGTCCAGTCCAGCCAGGTGCCCTTCTGCTCGTCGCCGCCCCAGCCCGACTGGTCTCGCCAGCCGCTGGAGCCGTCGATGGCGCCGTCCTTCCACGGATCACCGTTGATCCACGGATCATCCTTCTTCTCGTTGCGCTCATGGCGCTCGTGGCGCTCGGCGCCGCCGGAGCTGGCCGCAGCCGCGGAGGTGGAGCCCGAAGAATCTCTCCCCTGCATCGCCTCCCTGACGATGTCACCGATGATTCTGTTCAGCTCGCCCCTGGTCACCACCGCGTTCTCGGCCTGCCCCGGCGCCTCGGCGTGCAGTGTAGCACCTGCGTCTTTCTCCTCGTCAACTGCCATTACACCCACCGTGGATCCACACGCGTCGCGTTGGCCGAGCGAAGCGCACGCCCAGGGCTCGCGAGCACCGGCAGGGCCGCGCCTAGCAGCGCGTCCGGCCAGCGCCCATGGCACCCGAGCGACACCTCGCTCCGCTACCAACTGTGGCAGCAAAGGATTGGATGAATGTTTTAGGCCTTGAGCCACAACGGTAACAGTGACATGAAACTAAAGTGACCTGCCTTACAGGTCTGCAAGAATGAACTACAAACGCTAAACCTATCGATCAAATTCTGGAAATCGGTTACAGATCGCAGTTAGCACTTCCATCTGCTGCTCGCGCTTCATGAACCTCTGCGCCAATGACTTAAATATGCGTGTACATGTGCGCGTGTGAGCGTGCGTGCGTGCGTGCGTGCATGCGTGCCGGTGTGTGTGTGTGTGTGTGTGTGTGCGTGTGCGTGTGCGTGTGCGTGTGCGTGTAGGTGTGTGGGTTTGCGTGTGGGTGTGTGCGTGAGAGCGTGCGGGTGGGTGGGCGGGCGGGCGGGAGCGCGCGCGCATGCGAGCGCCGGCGGGGCCCTCCTCCCCCGGGGGGAGCAGGGCCCCCAGAGGCCCGCGGGGCTCCAGAGTAGCTGCTGTCGCCCCACGCGAAGAACCACTCGTCGCCGAGCACCTGGCGGGGGGGGGCAACGAGAGGCGCCCAGGGCGTGAGTCGACCACTCGCGAGCGGCGGGCGAACCCACACCCACGCCCTCACGGTCTGGACTCCACAAGGGCTCCCAACTTCGCGCTTCGCGCTGCGCGAAGCGCGAAGTGCGAATAACTTCGCGGTCTCGCGCCGCCCCAAGGGAGGAAGAGGAGGGTGAGGAGGAATCGGAGCCGAACCGCGAAGCGCGAATAATTTTGCGCCCTCGAGGGCGCCCTTGACTCCAAGGCCCGATCGCCAGATACGTTCCGCGCGCGGGGCATGCGCGAACAAAATCGGCAGCGGCCACGAGGGGCGTGTCCAAGAGGGGGGGTGCAAATCATGACCGGCGGCATGTGAACGGCCCCGCGGGGGGGCCATGGACGCAATGAAATAAGAAGAGGCGCCATGAAATCTGGGGAAATATCATGGCCCCCGCCATGATATCCACCCCCCCCTAGTCATCACCCCCTTGTTGCCGTCGCCGAGAAAAACGCCCCGCAGCCACGGGCTCGGCCTGCGAAGCCGGGGAGACCAAGCCGGCGAAGACGAGGCCAGGACATGGACAACGCCGAACGAGGACAGTCCGGGGATCTCCCCGAGATCCGGGGCTTCTGGGAGGATGCGTCGGGTGGGATCTCCCTGAGATCCGGGGGTTCTGGGAGGGGCCCTGGGGCACACAAATAAATACACACAAGTAACAGGATCCCCCATATTTTCGCACATTTTGGGTGTTTGCTCGTCTTCCCCCCCCCCTTCCCACATCTTCCCAGATTTTTTCCTGGGAGTCGACGATGACTTGTGCCTGCGTGTGTTGTTCCCTCCCGAGTTCTGGGAGGATGCATCGGGCGCCGCGGCCTTCCCACAGCGGTCTGGCACGCGAGAGCGTTCTGGATCGCGCTGGAACGATGCATGGTCGCCTGGCCTGGCCCCGCCCGGCTGGCTGGCCACGGCCGGCCGGCGCACCTCCGGCACGGAGTCGAGTCGACTCGGCTCGGCCGCCACGGGGCGCACGACGGCGCCGAGCCGGCATCGGGACGACTCACATCGGAGCGACGTTGGAGTCCCGAAACGGTGCGGTGACAGACCGTGCGGTGCCCTCGAAATCCCCCCCAAGACCTCACCGCACGGTGCGTCACCGCACGGTCTTGGGACCTCTGAGGCCCCAGTCGCCCGAGACGTCCTCGGAGAACGACCCGAGTAAGAAAACCGTGCGGTGACCCCGAATCCCCACCGACTCACCGCATGATGTGGTCACCGCACCGTTTGGGGGCCCCCGAGCGACGGCACCTCGAAACTCCATCGGACAGAGCGTGCCGGACGAGACATGACCGACAATCCCAACATTGACTGACCATGCGAGGAGGGTAGCCTACGCACTGGCGAAGCAGCGGCGACTTCGGCGTGGAGAAAGCCAGGCTCCCAATCGAGCCGCATCGCCGATGCATCGGTGATGTGGCGCGATCCTCCGACTCCATCCGCTCGGATCCCGCTTGGCAGGCCTCCTGGCATGGCGGAAGCCGACCCCTGGACCCTGGGCCCCCCCGAGACCAGCTTTTCACTCCGAGTCGCGTCAGCACGGTCCAGGTGCCCGTGGATGCCCCAGAAGCCTGGAGATGGCGAAACGCCTCGAGACCCCTCTCCCTGCCTCCTTCCTTCATCGTCCCCTTACTCCTCCTCTCCCTTCACTTGCGTACAGGAGCACAAAATTGATACAACTAATTGAATTCTGGCCCCCCCCTCCCTGGCGAGCGGAGCGCGCCAGGGGCGGCGCCGGAGGCGCCGCCAGGGGGTGGCCCACGCCGAACCAAGAATGCCGCGCGGACCTCCGAAAGCTTATGCTCATGCCGTACTTTCTCCTTCGTCCTCCTCTACCTCGTCCTCGTCGTCCTCGTCCTCGTCCTCCTCGTCCTCGTCCTCCTCGTCCTCGTCCTCCTCGTCTCCCTAATCCTCCTCGTCCTGATCCTCCTCGTCGTCGGCTCGCCCTCCTCGTCCTCGTCCTCGTCCTCGTCCTCGTCCGCCTCCCTCTCTACCGTCACGGCGGGCCCCGAGAGGGGCTGAGGGCGGCCTCCACGCCGCAGTGGAAGACACCCATGTTGTAGTCCTTCAGGTGCACGTTCATGCGGGCCTCAGCGTGGGTCCCCCCCCCCTCGGGCGCTGCTCCACGGGAGGGCGATGCGCGATGGGGGAGAGGCGTGCACCCTTCGCGTCCCGCTTGTTCCCCAGGGGGCCCGCTTAGTAGGGCCCCCTGGACGGCACAACGGGCGCCTCGTTCCCCACTCCCCCGTGCACCGCCGCTCGCCGCCCCCCCCCCCCCCCACTATGCAGCGCCAGCCCTCGCCCTCCGCCCCGCCGCCCGCGGGCCTTTCGGACTGCCCGTGCGCTCCCCCCCCTCCCGGGGAGGAGGAGGAGGAGGAGGAGGAGGAGGAGGAGGAGGAGGAGGAGGAGGAGGAGGAGGAGGAGGAGGAGGAGGAAGGCTGAGGAGGAGGAGGAGGAGGAGGAGGAGGAGGGAGGAGGAGGAGGGAGGAAGAGGGAGGCCCCCTCTTCGCACCCCTTTTCGCACTCCTGGTGGGATGTTGGCAGACGGCCTCGAGAGGCGAGGGTGGGCAAGCTCCTGCGCCCCAGGGAAGGACTCATGTGCGCGGGTGGGTCCAAGAAGGCTGCAGCGCTAGATGTTTGTGGTTGCTCTTGATTTGTATGTTTCTCTCTTTCTCTCTCTCTCTATCGCTCTCCCTCTCTCTGTGTCTGCACGTGTGCGTGTATATCTAAACATTCCCTCATACCATAAACTTGTACTCTAGAAGAACAGCGAGTCGGGATGGACCGGCTAGACCAACACCTGCAGGAGATGGCCGTGCCTCCCCTGCGCTCGCGCTCGGAGCGCGCACGCGCGCGGGCAGGCCTGCGCTCACCGCAGGCCTGTGCGCACCTCACTCCTAACCACTCGCTCTGGACTTGGACCTCGGCGGCCAAGCCTGCCTCACAAACTCTCGGGGGCTGCCAAGAGGGGAGTGTCCAAGAGGGTGGTGAACAAGAGGGGGGGGGCGCAAATCATGGCCCGCGGCATGTGCGCGGTCGGGGGGCCAGGGACGTATTGAACCAAGAAGGGGCGCCATGAAATCTGGGGAGATCTCATGGCCCCCGCCATGAGAGCCACTCCTCCCCAGCCATCCCCCCCCCCTCTTGGCCGCCCCCGACTCTCGCGAAGGCGGTGTAATCCTTGCGCCCTGAAGATCAGGCCGGCACCAATCACCAACCGCCTGAGACTGGCGGGGGGTGCAGGCTCACGTTGCCCTCAATCCGAGGCCGCGGTATTCCAAGTGAGCGGCAGGCCAAGGCGAGCAACCTAAACATCACCCCGAATGCACGCCCACGGAGGAAACGCACGGGATGGGCATCAGCCGATCTGCTGCAGGCAAAGCGGAGAAGCAACAAGTGGCACTCCGCCAAATCGACGGGGCCAGCGTGCAACGGGCGAAGAGAATGAGGACAGACGCGGGGGGGTGGAAAGAAACGCTGATGCAACAAAGGTGTACGCACCAGACCTCCTTTCTCGGTCATTCCCATTGTGGAACCAGGGGGTGATGATATACATAAGGACCATTGCCTTACATCATCTCCACTGACAACTTCCCCCTCCTCCTCCTCCTCCTCCTCCTCCTCCTCGTCCTCGTCGTCCTCCACTACATTACCGTCATCATCATAATCATCATAATCATCATAATCATCATCCTCTTCATCATCAGCAGCATCATCCTACTCGTCTTCATCATCATCAACAGCATCGTCACCATCAACATCAATATAATCGTCATCGTCAGCAGCATCCTCATCAAAATCAACATCAACATCATCATCAGCATCATCATCATCATCATCATCATCATCATCATCAACAACATAAGCATAAACATCAACATCATCACCATCATCACCAACATCAACATCAACAACCTCAATCATCATCATCCTCATCCTCATCCTCCCCGTCACACCTTCACCGACCCTTGGCAGGCACATCCTGGGCCGAAGACTGTTGCATCAACAGATCCTTGGCCCAGGGTTGCCCCGGCCAGGATCGTCCTGGGTGTGCCGGGGCGCGCTTGCGCGGGCCAGCACTGACCCACGTCAGCCAGGGCCACGTTGTGAACCCAGGTCCGCCACGTAGCAGCGTTCAAACCCGGAACGGCGGAAAGAACGGACAGGGGGGGGGAATTCCACGTGGATCCAATTTCCGGGCCGTCCATAAAACCCCCGCTAGCGCCGTCTCCCGTTAAGTGCGCCCCGATCCTGACCAAAATCCTACCAAAATCAGCTCCAGGACCCCTCGTGGAGACAACCCATCCTCGCAAATACATCATCATAGTCGGAATTGGGAGGGCCTTCGGGCTACAGGGAGGCCTCCAGAGGTCGAAAGCTATGGAAAACCTACACACTCGATCTTCCTCGATGTCCTGCTCCACTCGACCTCGATGCTGCACCCCTTTCCTCCCTGGCCGTGTAGGGGTCGACGTCGTAGACGTGCAGCCACACCTCTCGGCGGGGGCGCGCGGGGCGGGGGGTTCGGGGGCCGCCGCTGGAAGGGACGGAGGATGACAGGAGAGAGGCCGGGGAGGTGCGAATATATGAAAAAGCAAGCTCGGCTGCATTTTCGGATCGGCCCGGAGAAGTCTGGGAGAATGGAAGGAACATGAAGCACGGTGCGATTCAGTGAATCGAGACTGCCAGGGCCTCGTTTTCACATACGCTGGCCGCATTCTGCAGCAACTCGGGCGGGGGAGCCTCTCGTATGTACCATCTCGTTGCGAAGGTACACCAGATTCCCATGATTTCGCCACCAAGCGCCAAATCTTCTGACATCCTACCCCATCCCACACATCCCTTTCCATTGCATATCGTCGCTCGAGGTTGAAGCTATCTAATAAAAGTGGCCGTGTTGAGGAATATGCGGGAGTGAAAGCCAAGACGAGGCGCAGAAAAGGTCACGGGATCGAGGCAAACGTGCGCGGGTGCTCGCAGTCCATCCCTCCCCACTGCGTTGAACGCTTCTCTATCCGCCGTCGCGTGTCATAGCGGACACAGAGCTCCAAGAAGGGCCCAATACTGCCATGCGCATGCAGAAGAGGGGCAACTACGTAACTACATTGGAGGAGAAGGTGGCGGATGAGCAGGATGATGAGCAGGACGAAACGAGGTAAAACGCGGAAGGAGGGGGGCGAGGCCGAACTGCAGTAGCAGGAGCTGCAAAGAGGAGCGGGAGGAGCAGGAGGACCAGGGGAAGCCGGAGGGGGAGAAGTGACGGAGGCGGCAGAGATGAGGAATGACTCCTCCTCCTCCTCCTCCTCCTCCTCCTCCTCCTCCTCCTCCTCCTCCTCTTCCTCCTCCTCGGACCCCGAGAAAAGAAAGGAAGGCCGCGCTGGGGCGAGAAAGAGTGCAGGCCTGCACGGCGGGATCCCAAAGCGCCGATCCCAGGCGAACATCCGAGAGGCTCCACGCCGGGGACGCCGGGGACGCCCTCGACGCCCCGACGCCCCGGCGCGGAGAGACCTGGGCACCTCGAGAGCTCGAAGCGGCGATGCCCGCCGCCCCGATGATGGGCCTGCTTTCCACCACCACCACCACCAGAAGTTGGAGGGGGAGGGGGTCCTCCTCCTCCTCCTCCTCCTCTCTCTCCTCCTCCTCCTCCTCCTCCTCCTCCTCCTCCCCTCCTCCTCCCTCTCCTCCTCCTCGTCCTCGTCCTCATACACTTCCTCCCCCCCCCTCCAAACACGTGGTGGTGTGGTGGAAAACAAGGCCCATCACCCGAAGCTCGACGCCCCCGACGCCCCGACGCCGTGCGGCGAATAAAATAAAAAAAAAGAAAAAAAAAGACAAACAAAAGAGAAATAAAAAAAAAAAAAAAAAAACACACAAATAAAGAAAGAAAAAAGAAAAAAAAAAAGAAAAAAAAAAAAAAAAAAAAAAAAAACAAAAAAAAAAACTAAAAAAAGAAAAAAAAAAAAACAGAAAAAAAAAAAACAATAGAAAAAAAAAAAAAAAAAAGAAAAAAACAAAAAAGAAAGCAAAAAAAAAACCACGAAAAAAAAAAAAGAAAAACATAGAAAAAAGAAAAAACAATAAAGAAACAAAAATAAAAAGAAAATAAAAAAAAAAAACAAAAAAAAAAAAAAAAAAACAAAAAAAAAAAAGTCAGGCGCGCCATCCCGCCGCGGCCCCGCGCGCGGCCAACGGCGCCCGAGGCACCTGCCAGCCCGCGGCCGCCCGGCGGCCGGAGCCGCGCCCGCGGCGGGCTCCGCGGAGGCGCCAGCGCCGGGCTCGCCGGCGGGCGCCGCGGCAGAGCCGGCGGCGGGCTCGTCGGGGAGCGCCACCTCCTGCGGCGGCGGCGGCGACGGCGGCGGCGTCGGCGGCGACCGCGGCGACGGCGACGACGAAATCGACGACGACGACGAGAACGACGACAAAGACGGCGACAGTGACGACCCACAGCGTCGCTGCCTGGAACGGCGGCAGCGGCAGCCAGCGACGGTGCGGCGGCAGTTGCTGCGGCGGCGGCGGAGACGGCGGCGGCGGAAGCGGTATCGGCGGCGCCGGCAGCAAGCTCATCGGCAGGGCGGCGGCGGCGGCTCGCGACCAACATGAGCTGCAAGTGCCGGGGGGAGGTGTGGCGGAGGACGTGCCGGCGAGCGAAGCGGCAGATCCCTCGACCTTCGAAGTCTACCACTCACGAGCCGGGGTGGAGGAGGGAGGAGGCGGCGGCGCCTCGAGGCCCAGCGGCAAAGCCCCTCGAGCATCGAGCTCCACCACTCACGGGCCGAGAGGGAGGACGGAAGGCGAGGAGGAGGAACCGGGAGGGAGGGTGGAGGAGGCAGGAGAGAGGCCCAGAGATCCGATGTCTTATGACGTCGTGATTGTTCCTTATGGGGTCCTCGGAAGTCTCGACCCTTTCCCCAGTCGCTATCTGACAGCCCCGGAGCCCAGCGAGGGCCTCCAGCGGCCGAAACAGACACCGTCGTCAGGTTTTCAATGCGTTGAATCCCTAGGAGGAGGGGGAGGAGGAGGAGGAGGAGGAGGACAGGGGAAGAGGAGGAGGAGAGAGGAGGAGGGAGGAGGAGAGGAGGACAGGAGCAGGATAGGAGGAGGAGAGAGGAGGAGGAAGGATGAGAGGGAGGAGGAGGAAAAAAGGGTAGGGACGGAGGGCAGAAGAGGGAGGAGGGAGAGAAAGAGAGGGAGGGAAAAGGAGGGAGGATGTGAGGGAGGACGGAGGGAGGAAAGGGAGGAGGGAAGAGGAGGAGGAGG